AGGAGGCCCCGGGGCAGACCCAGAACACACTGGAGGGATTACATATCTCATCTGGCCTGGGAACGCCTTGGGGTCCTCCAGGAGGAGCTGGAAAGTGTTGCTGGGGAGAGGGATGTCTGGGGTACTTTGCTCGGCCTGCTGCCCCCGCGACCCGGCTCCAGATAAGCGGATGAAAATGGATGGATGGATGGATATAATATTCAAAACTTTTTCAACAGTGTTTGGACGGCTGGTTGCCCCATCTATGTCCATGGCAATATTTGGAGTAACTCCTCTAGATGTTAACTTACGTTGAGCCCAAGTGGACATTGTTTCTCTTGATTCACTTTGGGCCAGAAGGGTGACCCTGTGTAAAAGGAAGGACTCTTCACCTCCAACACCAGTCTGAGTGGGCGGAAGTTCGCTGCATAGATCAGCTTCTCATTGGGCGGAACGAGCCACCCGCTGAAGTCCCGCCCTACCACCTCTGGTTGTGTAGCAGTTTTCAACACTTCCTTTACTAACTTTTGCGGTGTTTGATCTTGCGGGGATGTAGCCATTTTTCTGCCATGGTTCGCGTCCTGTAGGCGATATTTTTGTGGGCGTGTTACACCAAAACCTGTTTCCCCCTGGCAATATTTTTGCAAGCGTACCGTTGCTGTGGCTCTGCCCAGATTGATTGTGATTGGTTGAAAGAAATACAAGCAGCCGGGGCGTTTTTTTCTCCAATCTTAAAGTGAGAGTCGGCCCAGCCAGACCTTTCTTTTGCTCGCTATGCTCCCCCACTTATCTTATATTTTACTCATTAATTTAATACTTAATTTGTCATCTTATGTCTTTCTTTGTTTGTTCTTGTGTTGACAGGGTTGTTTTTCATCCTTATTGGTTCTGTTTATTTATCAGTACTCTGTATGTTTTTATTAATTGCTAATAAAAATCGCTTGTTTAAAAGAAACAAACAAATGTAGTGCAGTAAAAAGTAAAATACTTCCCTCTGAGATGTAGCGGAGTAGAAGTATAAAATAGCCTAAAACAGAAATATTCAAGTAAAGTACAAATAATTGATCAAAACAAAAAATCTGATCTAAAACCATCCGTAATGATTTTAAAGATGTTTATCACAATGATTTGTGGTTAAAGAGCTGAAGCTTCAGTGTGGACCTGAACAGTCCTGTGTTTTCTCAGGTCGACTGCGCAGCATGTGACAACATGCCGACACTTCATCCTTCCTGCAGAGCTCCATCTCTCCGGCTGTTGTTTTTTCCTCCCACTCGTGTTCCTCCTCCTCCTGTCATCCTGTTCTTCCTGCTGTCTGTCAGGAGAGACACTGAGTCATGTCTCTGTCACTCTGTCTTCCTCCATCAGTCCATCAGTCTTCCCCTCAGGGACAGAACCAACAGCTCTGAGTCAGTATAAACACAAATGTTTACATGTGGTGTTCTCAGAGTTTTCTCTAATTAAGCATCAATAACACGTTTAACATATTACAGGTTTTATTCATAGTTTAAAAAGACCCCAGTTCTCTGTGTTTCTGCTGTTAGGGAGACACTTTTTTAACAAGCTGCTTCAGGAAACTTTATAGAAATCACTTTATGCTAAAGCTGCCGAAATTGTCATTGTATCCTGACAGCTGTGAAAAATCTGGTCTCTCTGGATCCTCCTCGTTTTTTCAGATTTTCAGGCTCTTGCGTACAGTGGCTGCACTGACTCTGGTCAAAATTGTATTTACTGTGAGTAGTTTAGTAGAAGATGAACTGGTCTCCAAAAGGCACAACGTTGTAGCTCACATATGCTTTTCAACATTTTAAGCAAGATCAGTGCATTAATTTTGTTTTATAAAATTTTAGAGTGAAAAAAAGAAAACAAAAGGAGCACTGTCCACAGGTGTGGGACCCCCAAGACATTTGAGCTCTCAGACAACTTTTCCCAGGGTCTCAGACCTTAATTAGCTTGTTAGGGCTCTGGCTTGTTCACAGTCATCGTTAGGAAAGGCCAGGTGATGCTGATTTCTTTATAAATACTCTGACTCCTGAAACCTTGTCCCAACAGCCAGCAGCCATGGGCTCCTCTAAACAGCTGCCTAGCACTCTGAAAACTAAAATAACTGATCAAGACTAAAGAAGACAGCAAAGTGTTTTCAGGGAGCTGTTTCCTCAGTTGGTCATGTCTTTAAGAAATGGCAGTTAACAGGAACTGTGGAGGTCAAGCTGAAAACTTTCTGAGAGAGCTGCTCGTAGGATTGTTAGAAAGGCAAATCAAAACCCCTGTTTGACTGCAAAAGACCTGCAGAAAGATTTATCAGACTCTGGAGTGGTGGTGCGCTGTTCTACTGTGCAGACACACCTGGACAAATATGACCTTCATGGAAGAGTCATCAGAAGAAAACCTTTCCTGTGTCCTCACCACAAAATTCAGCGACACAAGTTTGCAAAGGAACATCGAAACAAGCCTGATGCTTTTTGGGAACAAGTCCTGTTTTTGGACACAATGAGCAAAGGTATCTTTGGCGGACAAACTGATAACCCGGGGGGTGGATGGATGATGCTTTGGGCTTGTGTTGCAGCCAGTGGCACGGGGAACATTTCACAGGTAGAGGGAAGAATGGATTCAGTTAAATTCCAGACATCACAGCATCTGTAAAAAGCTGCAGATGAAGACAGGATGGCTTCTACAACAGGACATTGACCCTAAACATACCTCCAAATCCATATTGGACTATCTCTAGAGGAGCAAGCTGAAGGTTTGGCCACGCCCCTCACAGTCCCCCGACCTAAACATCATTAACATCTGTGGATAGAGCTCAAAGAGCATAGCATGAAGACGGCCCAAGAATCTCACAGAGCTAGAAGCCTTTTGCAGTAAGAATGGGTGAAAATCCTCCAAAGAAGAACTGAAAGACTCTGAGCTGGATACAAGAAGTGTTTAGAAGCTGTGATACTTGCCAAAGGAGGCGCTACTGAGCACTGACCACGAAGGGTGATCAAACTTTTGCTTCAGGCCCTTTTCATTTTGTGTTATTTTAAAACTGTAAAAGACTGAAATTAAAAAGTAATCTTGCTTAAAACATTGAAGAAATGTGTCATCTTTTATTTCATGCATTTTGGAAATCAGTGTATAAAGAAGTGTAAACAGAATTTTGACCAGGGGGTGCCAAAACATGCCACTACATTTTACAAAGCACCAGGCTATTGAAGTGAACACTGCCATTAAACTGCACCACCACTCAGAGAGAGTCAATATTTACAGCTATCATTCAGAAGTCACCAGAAACAAACCACTATTGATCTCTCTCATCTAACAGAACAAACAGTTTGTTTTACATCAGCTGCAGAGTTTGATCACATCACAGAGATCTAACAGTCTTCTTTTCACGGCTGTTGTTTCAGCCTCGCAGCAGGAAAATGCCATGTTTATCTCAGATATGATAACTGTCGGACTGTCTGTCAGACGAGCGTCAATAGCATCCCAGCAGGTTCTAATAACTACAGCCAAAGAGAACAAACAGCTCACAGACCGCCTGTGGTGAGAGGCTGAAGTGTGTGTTGGCAGTATAAAAATAATATGCCTCGCACTGACTGTCCGCACACAGGGAGGAGAAGAAGTGTTTCCTACTGCTGTTATAATCATACTGAAGCAATAAACCCAGAGGAAAGTATTTACTGACTGCATTATATTTGTATCACATCATTAGATTTCCAGCTCATGAGCCTTGATGTTTTTCTTATAATGCATCTCATAACTTTTTGAAAAAGGAGGACCCTACATATGGTCCATAAAATCAAACCAGAAATGGAGCTAACATGAAGCTAACACGACCACTATGACATACAGTAAAGCTAGTCACTACTTTTAAATTAATTTGACCGTCCATAACCATAATGCCAATAAACTTAATGATTTTAGTCATTTAATGTGTTGATTTTATACATACAAACACTAAATACTCATCTTTGTCTCTGGTTAAAATCACAACTGTCCCAGCTTTTATTTTGAAAGTAGAAGGAAGGAACTTTTTGGGTGCATTCGACTGGATAGAGGACAATATACAATATAAGATTTTCACATAGAAAGTATTTTTTTATGGTCTTTGCAATAATTGCAGAAGGTTTGCAGCCGAGTGTGAGGCAGTTAGGATGAGAGTCAGGCAGCACCTCCAAATTTGAGGCCATGGTTCTCTGCCAGAAAATGATGGAGAGAGTAACTGCTTCAAGCGAGGGAATTGAAGTATCTCGGGATCTTGTTCACGAGTGAGGGTAGAATGGAACATGGGATGGATCGGCGGTTTGGTGTGGCTTCTGCAGTGATGCAGGCGCTGTGCCAGACCATTGTGGTGAAGATGAAACTCAGCCGGACGGCGAAGCTTTCGATTTCCTGGTCCACCTATCTCCCAACCCTCACCTGTGGTCATGAGCTTTGGGTTGTGACCGAAAGAATAAGGTTGTGGATACAAGCAGCCGAAATTAGGTTCCTCTGTGGTGTGTCTGGGCTCAGCCTTAGAGATAGGGGGAGGAGCTCAGAGTAGAGCCGCTGCTCCTTTGAGTCAAAAGGGGTCAGTTGAGGTGGTTCAACATCTGATCAGGATCCTTCTGGGCTCCTCCTGTTAGAGGTTCTCTGGGCACGTCCCACTGGTAGGAGGCCCCGGGGCAGACCCAGAACACACTGGAGTGATTACATATCTCATCTGGCCTGGGAACACCTTGGGGTCCTCCAGGAGGAGCTGGAAGCATTGCTGGGGAGAGAGACGTCTGGAGTGCTTTGCTCAGCCTGCTGCCCCCTTGACCTGGCCCCGGATAAGCAGATGAAAATGGATGGATGGAACTCTGAGAAACAACCATCACCTCAAACCTTCACTTCCTTTCCACCCGCCGCAATCAACCCACAGCAGAGAGCTCGTCACTGAATCATTACACTGCTGCTGTTACAACGCATGGCTTTGTTTAAGTTCACAGCTAAACAGACAGATTGGAGCTCCCTGAACTCATCATTACAAACTGCAGAATCATCAAATCACAAAATCAAAACAGCTTTTATGTGACTTTAATTTAACAAATCATCAGTAACAGGACAAGTGGAGGGGGTTAATATCCTGTTACACAGCAGGACTGTTGGATTATGTGTTAGTGACAGACTGTTTGCATGAATCCTTTCTGAAATAAAACCAGGCCACACGTGACGTTAACTTACAGGAAAGAATTAAACGCTAATGAACCAGTTGATTTGAACCTGCACAGTTTGGAGTTCATTAATTCTGCACTGACTGAGTCACTGATTCATTATGTGTGTCTATAAAAGAGCATGTCACATTTATATATGAACAGTTTTAATATTAGACTTCACATCCATAGTGATGTAACTGCTCACAAGTTAAATAATAAATGTGTTTGCATCAAACTAACAACACAGTGATAAAAAGTTCATCAGCTGAAATATAAAATAACATTTCCTAACATGTTTCAGATCTTTTTCACACAGATATGAATTTGTGTTTCATGATTAAAGCTACATTAATCAACAGTTTTATATTAACACTGGATCACGATTACTTTATAACGGAGAGTCGCCTGTAGCGATAAACTCAACGAGTCTGCACTTCCCCTCAGCTCAACACATTATATTATTATGTACAGCTTTATCAAACACAAGTGTCTGACTATTTAACACATCAGTGACTTGATAGTAATTCCAGGGTTTCAGAAGTATAAATTTGAGATACTGAAGATGACAGACGTGACTGTTGTGTGGTGTGAAAATCACGTACCACCATAATGAAGCTGTCGACTGTTTCTCATGAATACTTGGGGTTGAAACCTTCCTGAAGTTTCCTACTTGGAGATCCATTCATTCTGTCTGAGGACGGATTTCGCCTCTGAAACGCTGCTAAAGTCAATAGAGTAAAAAACAGGGATCAGCTGAACAGATGAGCAGCAGAAGTTTCTCTGTCCATAACATTTCTGTTATCCAGAGTGAGGAGTGACCATCAGTCCTGGTGTTTTCCACAGACCCATCTGAGCTGAGGCTGGTCTCTGAGGTCCGTCGGCTCCGACGTGGAGAACCAGCTGCACTGGCAGGCGTACGCCCGTAAACCTCTCCTCTTCTTCAGCTTGGCTCTGAGCTTCTGACGGTCCGGCATGTTGTTCCTGCAAAGACAGACAGAAAGTCGTTTAAAGGGCAGCTCCACTTCTATTTATCTTCTTACTATATAATGACGAAAACTCTGTGTGTGTGTGTGTGTGTGTGTGTCTGTTCCATGTTTTTCTCCTCACTGACTTGGTCAGTCCATGTGAAATTTGGCACAGTGGTAGAGGGTCATGGGAGGATGCCAATGAAGCAATATTACATCAATTGGCCAAAGGAGGGCGCTATAGCAACCCATTGAAATGTCAAACTTTGAATGGGCATATCTCATGCCCCGTATGTCGTAGAGACATGAAACTTTGCACAGAGATGCCTCTCCTCATGAGGAACACATTTGCCTCAAGAACCCATAACTTCCGCTTATATAGATTTTCCGCCATTTTGAATTTTTTTTAACACTTCAAATGGATCTCTTCCTAGGAAGTTTGAGCCATCTGCATGAAACTGGGTGAACATAATCTAGGGACCAATATCTAAAGTTCCCTCTTGGCAAAAGTTGGAAAACTTACTAAAACTGAGCTTCTATAAGGCAATGAATATTGCGGAGGGCGTGGCTCATCACATAAAGGTGTATAACATCTCAAGGGTTTCACCCATCACCACGCAACTTTGTAGGCATATGACCACACATAATCTGAGGGGACCCCTCCATTATTGACCCCATCAAACAAAATGGGGGCGCTAGAGAGCTCATTTCTTATCTAGGCCTAACCGCCATATGGATTTTTACTAAACTTGGTAGATATGTAGAACAGGACGCCTCAAGGTGACTGGAGAAATTTAACTCTAATTGGCAACTGGGTGGCGCTATAACAACAGAAAAATGCTTCAAAATGGCTAAAATGCGACCGATCGCTGTGGCTCCCCCTGTGGACCAATGTTGTTGTTTTTTCTAATGTTTGGTATGACTAAGTCATGGTATGGTATGCTGTACATAATCACGCAAACTGTCAGTGTGTCATTCTGTCAGTCAGTCATTCTGTCTGTTCCACGTTTTTCTACTCACTGATTTGGTCAATCTATGTGAAACTGCACATAGGCATTGAGGACTGGCATAGGTAGAAGGTGACAAAGCTACCAATGGGTATGAACTAGTTTATCTATATTTTGTTGTTGTTGTTGTTGTTGTTGTTTGTATCATTCTGTAACTTCCCAGTAGTGTTCTTTAGGTATTCAACTCTGAACAGATGTTGGTCTAGGTTTTGATATTTACTGAAAATGACACATCTAGTCAGCAACAAGTACGATGTCATTATCATCACTGGGCGGGCAGATTGGCTCTCGTAACAGGTTGGGTTGTTGCAGATTTTGAAAGATCCTGAACCCCGCATTGCTACTGACAACAGATAAACGTGAATTTGCGACAGCAGTGACCACGTATGTAACTGCTTCCATGCATTGCAGTTTTTTTGCTAACTGCCATAAACAGTTAGAGCCAATTCATAGTTTCCATTTCAGCCTGTCCATGAGTGTCTGCTTTGGTCAGTGTGACTTAAATGTCGTCATGCCCTGATATCTGTAAGGTCCACACTGAAGGCCTTTGCACACTGAGTCAGTTTCTTTTGTCCAAAATTGTCACACGCCTAAAATTAAATACGACCACGCTGTGTCAATCATGTTTATACACTGAGTCCGAAACTTTCATCTGTCATAAAAGTTCTCGGAACAGACTCAATTTTCTCAGTTTTTCAAGTCTATCAGAGCCTTTAGAGACATTTGACCAAGAATCAGTGACAAAAATGTAGCGGCAGGACACAGCCGCGACGAAAGAGGAACAGGTCGCACAGTATCCTTTCATATCTCTACTACTTTCAACAGGTCAGATAGTAACATTCAGGTGGGTGATGATGAAGAGGAGGAGGATGTGTAAGTGCACTTAACACACATGCAATGTTTTTCTCCTGGTTTTGTTTAAATGTGCTGCGGCTGCTGCTTTCTGCTGGAAATAAAAGCAAAGTCACTTCAGTCTTTTATACGAATAAATCTCTTTTCATTAACACTGAAAAGCTGCATATTAATTCATGACGCCTATGTGCATCACTAACAATCATAAATCCATACACTCCAGTCGTAATTGCTTTTATAAAACCACCATGTACACTCACCTTTTATATTAAATTACAGACTGAAACACTTTTGTTAATGTAAATGTTCTCAGGTAAGCCTATTAATAATTATATAACATGAAATAATAAGACAAATGTGAAAGTGGCCTCAGAAATGGATGCACAGTTTCTAATAGATATCAGAACTACATGGCAAATATTTTTTTAAAAAACAACAGGACAAAGGTTACAGGGATATAATATCATCAAATAAAGTAAAAATAAATAAATTATTTTACTGAATATAAATATAAATATTATTTAATGATATTATTAAAAGAAATAAATACATTTTTTTAACAATTTATAAATAAAAATCAGGTTAAGTGAAATTTAATCACATCCCAGCAGGTAAATCTTCAGTGAGTTGTGTTTACTTAATTACTAACTGGACATTAAAACATACAAATAACATTTATTTTAGCAATAAAGCTGCGGTGAAGTGAAGTACAACACTCCCTGAATCTGATTATTTGCCTTTCGCAGCTGGTTGGTTGAAGCTGTGCCGCTGCAGGATGTGAAGGACAGACTCATCATCCTGAGTGCTCTCAATTTACCAACATCACTCTAAAAGGAAACGTGGAAGAAAACATACTGAGTGCTGAAATAATGGCGCTCTATTTTGATGTGTGAATTATTGCAGGCGCTGACAGGCTGTTACAGATTGATTCATACACACAAATCTGACTTTTCTATATTTTCATTGTTAATGTTTCGTGATAAAATGAACCAAGTTTTCAAACAACATGTCCTCATGTGCACTGGTTCAGCTATGTTACGTTAAATAATGTTTGTGTTTTGCTTTCATTTAGAAAACGTGTTTCCTCAAGATTCACATGGCAAGGAAAGAGACCCTGAGAACAGCACAAAATACTACAACTACTGAAAGAAAAAGGAGGCTGGGGCTTACGATCTTAGAGAGCATACTATATCTCAGCACAGATTAGAGCGTTACTGTATTGGTGTGACCCATCTTACTGTATATAGCACAGTGGAAAGAGATTGAATGTAGAATAATATCTGATGCCCATGTACAGGATACTACCAGATAAAAACTTGCAGAGATGCATAGATAGACTGGAAAATCTTTGGGTTAGATCTACTCTGAGGGTGTGGGGAGCTGTGACAGAAAAGCATAAACTGGAGGAAGATATAAAAATTCTGAGTATGTGTGCATATGATTTGGATTTTACACCAACTAAGCTGGATGATACGTTAAAATTCTGGATAAAAAGGGCATCCAGTCATTCATTTTCCGTAACTGTGTATCCTGTTGGGGGTCACGGGGGGGGGGGCTGGAGCCTATCCCAGCTGACATTGGATGAGAGATGGGGTACGCCCTGGACAGGTGGCCAGACTATTGCAAGGCAAGAATCATACAACGGTTGGGTGGGGGGATAGCTGCTCTAGCCGCAGCTATACTTGCTCATTCTTACTCTCTTACAGTCAAGATGGCAGTGACGTTAACAGCTAAATAATTCATCTCATAAACTGTAGTGGATCATAACTTTTCTATGAATGTCAGGCCAAACTGTGTCCTGCAACAGATTGTAAAGCTTGCTGTTTTTAGTCAGGTAGATTTCTAGAAAACTTGCGGCTCTTATCGTCAGGTTCAGAGGAGTTAAAGGCCAATTAAGGTTTAAAACTGTTCATAAAAAAGGTTTTTCAACTATTTTGAATAACCGCAAACATGAGAGGTCCTCGAGCACATGGTCATACTGTGAACACATAATATGAGGCTGATTAGTTCATTAGTTGGTGAGATTAGCTGCGGACAGACTCACACTCATACATGCAGTCGTTCACACGTGAACAAACACATAACATAAACCTCTGTGATTCTTCTTACTGTCTAATAAAGAACAAAAAGAAAAGACAAGCTTCAGTCAAACTCTCACCTCGCCTACACACACCTCCATCACCCGAGTGTTTCCTGTCAGTCCCTGTTACTGTAACAAACAACACTGTGTCACCAGGAATTAGTCTAGTCCTTCCTGCTGCTGCAGGTGAACACAAACAGGACTGTTATCGCTGTAGTTTTCATATGAAATCAAAGTCAGCGGTCACCACATGATCTCTGGGTGGTTTTATACTGTGATAGTAATTAAGAGCTGATTTCTCACATTTCCTTACTTTGATGGAAATGTTAGGCTGGATATTAAATGTCAACCTTTTTCATTCTTAACAGTGTCCGCAAGATCGAGTGTCGAAAACCACCGAGAACTGGAGCTGGCATCAAAATCAGACTTGTTTTTGTTGTCTCTTCCATAAACCACTGACAATCCAAACAGCTGAGCTGCGGAGTAATACAGTGCGCGGCAGCGGTGGCACAGTAATGCAAAAGTTTTATAGTTGAGAAAATGTAGTGTCAAAGAAAAGGGCTGTCTCTTAAGATGACTATAGCACGTTTTGGTATCAACCCCCGTCCACAGCAATGTGATGCTGAGCTTCCCTGGTGAGACTCCTGCCTGAAATTCCAAACTGGGGAAGCACTGACCATCATCTGCTGAAGGTTATACACAACTAACCCTTTAGGAGCAACCTCCTGTTACAGCAGCCCAGTCGCCAAAAGAAAATGTTAGCGTTGTACGTTACATTTGTACATTTCATACCTATCTTATTAATTATAGGAGCCATCCATGGTGTAAATGTGTGTAGGTTGCTATTTGTCCTGTAGGAGGCACTGTAATATCATGGGTGTCTGTTAATATCGGTAGGACAGGTCGAGGGACAGGTGTTGCTAAACGGGGGAGCACACATGGATTTTTGACTGCAATGCCGGGCCACGTCAGGTCAGGTGTGCGCTGCTCAATGTAATGGTGAAAATTTGTACCTTTGAATGGTTTATGGAAAAAGATTCATGAATGTTTGCAAGTTTTTCATTGAAGACTACAGCGCTGATAAATAAATAATTATTATCAAAGAAGAATAAGTGGAATTTTTGTTTTCACCTGATGAGCAGCAGTCGGATAGGTCTGCCGAGTACGTCCATTAGTAAGCAGACTGTCTACGCAGCCCCTCAGTGGCTTTACGTTTCGGCTAAGCTGCTATATCAGTGTCTCTAAAATGACGTGGAATGTGAGCTGACTTTGTCATCGGGAGGTGGATGGCATGTCACCTCGGCGAGATGCCTGCCAAGCAGCAGACCACTGTTGAAGTTCTTTACCTAACTATAACCAAGTGGTTTTAGTGCCTGAACATAACCACGCATTAACCACAGCGTTACTGAAACGAAAAGCTCCAACATATCTGCCACATAATGACATATGTCACATATCTGTGGTTTGCAGAAACGCACAATGGCAGCATTTATTCTGGTGATTGGGTTGGTTGTGGTCGATTGTGCAGAGTGTCTACCTGCACTCTGGAGACAAACCTCTCATTGTTACACTCAATCACTTGATTGTGGGTTTTAGCTGTGTTCAGGGGTCTAAAACAACAATGCCTCAGCTCGTTTGTATTCTGGTCAGAGTGGACTGCAGCTGCAGTCGTTCCCACTGTGAAATAAAAGGTAACAGCTTTTATGTTGTTTGACATGAATGTGGGTGTTAAAAAATGAACCTGAGTGTGAAAAAAAAAAACACATTTTATAACTTAATGTGTAAATTTCTAAATGGTTTAATGAGGTTTTGTGACTCAGTCTGCTCTGAACAGTAACGGCAAAACTTTCACTAATTTGTGTTTCTGTACTTTTATGAATAATGCATTTTTAATGTATTTCTACACCTCCTCACTTGTTTGAGATCAAGAAATCTGTCAGTGGACATAAAGCAGAGTGTGTGAGGAAGAAGAGGTCGGCTTCACAGCTCAACACTGCCACCTTCGGGCAAACTGAGAAAGATCACCCAAAACTATTTCTGACAGAAAATGCCACACATGTTTTGCTTGGTCTAAAGTCTTGAAATCTGGTATGGACTGACTTTGGGCAAGTATTTAACAGTACTACTTTTTAGGTCACAAAGAAATGACACTAAAGCAGCGGTCAAAGTCAAGATGTTTGAAAAATGAGTTTTTTAAACTATATTTATAGTTGGTTGTGCTCCTTGTAGTTTCTGAGATACAGCCATTTTCTTACCTTAAAAATGCTATTTAGTCTTTGGGCACATGACTACCGTTTTTTCTTTTAAATTGTAGAAAATGCCATAAAAATGTAGGGATTTTAATCATTTTGTAGTACAGACATGCTTGTGACTCCTATGTCTATATTCTATATAAATTAAAGTTGCACAGAATTATTATCAGTCATACAGCAGGTGAAAACATTCACTAGAGGAGCCATTCTCATAATATGGCCAAATGGTGCTTAAAAAGGCCCACAGGCGAACTGAGACAGAGAGGTTTTTGTGCAGGCACTAAAAGGTTTCATATGGCTTCCTACACACTCCTCCGTACTTTCTGTTTGGTGACACAGTGAGCACTTTGTTCAGTAAACAACAACAAGAGGTTGAACAGAAAATCAGCTTCACAGTTTAATGTGAAATGTAAACATCCTGTATGCCCAGTGCTATACACGCTGCCCAAAATACATAAGCCTCAAATTCTTCAGAATAGTGATACAGGCAGACCTGAGTGATATTTTCCACCGTACCTTCATCTCAGACAGTTATATGTGCGAATATCTCTCTTCAAGTAAACAACAACAAACCACGTCACCAGAGACAGACTCATCATGAATCAGAGGGGAGTCACACGTCAAACAGAAGTGAGAATTCAGACTGAAAACAGCCCTGTGTGCAGATGATTCAGCCACGTCTGTGGTGGTGAGGTTGTTTCAGGAGACAGATGTTATGTGTCTGTGTGGGTGAGGTGAGGTGAATATACCAGAGTATCACACAAACAATGACACAATATCTAAAGTCTGGTGTACTGTGATTTCCGGACCCAGTCAAAAGATGACTAACATGAAAGGAATATGGCAATATCCAATATCCACCCACGCTGACACAGGGAGAACATGCAAACTCTACACAGACCACACTACCCTGGGTTCAAACCAGCGACCCTCTTGCTGTGAGGCGACAATGCTAACCACTGCATCACCGTGTTAATCTACATTTTGCCAACAGGTAAGTGCAAGTATACAGTACAGTATTAGGTTCAGTGGTAGGTTTAAAGATTTGTAACATAAGAAATGTGGACTTTGACGCAGAAAAGCTTGACTCATTTTGACAAAAACAAATTAAAACGTGGATAAATACAATTAGATAAAACGTTTGTGGCAATTAAGACCTCACAAAATAAAATTCAAAACTACTTAATGACAATTAAGGCCTAATATTTAATAATTACATAGGACCTGCCTACACCCTGGATTCAACGTATCCACTACATAATAATAGGGCTGGGCGATATGATCAAAAACTTATATCACGATATAGGTCATTTCACATAGGCCCTGAATATTGTCGCCGTCTCGCTGCTTGTCTGCTTTTTCTCAGCGCTGCGGGGCTGAGCCAGCGCAGCAGAGACAGACAGCGGTGGAGTTAATATAATATTAATATGATATAATATAAACTCATTATATTACTGTAAGTGCCGTAAGAGTAATTTATCAATGTGATCCGTGCAAAAGATGGACAGACTCCAAATGACGAAAAATGTTGACGTAAAAAGTGTAATTTGCATCGCAACGTTATAAACGATAGAGAAAAATATGAAACGATAGACGTTTTTCTCTCGTCACACGATATCATCACATCACACAGACCTACATAATAACGTGCAAATGTAACGAATCTGTGGTTTGCAGGATCGTACAATGCCAATATCATTTCTGGTTGTCTGACCAGATAAATTTAAAGGGCCGTGAGATGAACAGAAGAGGAGAGAAGGAAAATCATTTCTGCTGCACAAAGTTTTGCTTTTTTTCTTTCTAAACTACAAAACAATTTAACTTCTTCTGGAACAAAACAAGAGAAAATAATCTGTCTTTGGTTGGACTGGCCACAACTGGCAAACGTGCATGATGACGTAGGTGGCTTTGGGCCTGAAGCCTCAAAAAACATGTGACCTTTAGGGCAGATTGGACCATGTAATGTAGATTTACAAACCACTTCCTCTTTGGTGGCGAAACACTGACATTTGACACCTCACCATGGTCACACGGTTTGACGAAACCTCAAGCTTTATGCAACTTTTGATGTCCCAGGTCTTAAGATGGTACAGACAAAGCCTGGAGGAGGAATTCGACAAAGTGCGACCCCAAAAAATACACAAAAGTGGCAGAGTAAAGTCAAAATGGCTGTCTTCCTGTTGGGTTTAGGGCGTGGCTCCCTTTTTTGTATGTCTTGGGACGTTACAGATGCTTACAAAGTTTCATACCTCTAGGTGAAACATACTGCAGGGGCTGCTTCATAGAAAAGGGGCACAACCGAGCCCCCTTGGCACATGAAGATCCATGATGTTTAAAGTCTACCTCTAAACATGTCCTGTATTTTTATGTCTTGTTGTAAAGAGAGAGCGTGTGCAGACTCACCTGAGGAACAGGTAATCACAGGACACGTCCCACTCACAGTCATCAAACATCAGCACCCGGAAGTCACAGGACGTACACCTCAACTGGTCACATGACCTGTTGATACAGTAATTACTATTAACTGAAGTGTATTTGAAAAGTTATTGTAAAAATAGCACATCAGTGTGTCAGTAACATATCAGACACGCTACCTTTGTAAAACTGATTTAAACAAATAAAGGTATGTGGAGGGGAAACTTGGTGCCTCTGAGACAATCGGTATCAGAGTGCTGTATCATTACAAACCAACAAGCAGGACAAACATGACAGACGCTCGTGGTATGAAATCATTTTTCACACCTCTTGGATGTAGCTGTTCCTACACCGTTTGTGACGGAGCTCCCACCAACGAACACAGGGCAGCACCTGGACACAAAACAGACAGCGCAGATCGACTCCAAGCACACATAAAACAGCATCCACATTTAAGAGAATCAAAAGAGCCGACAGAGCAACACAAACACATTTTACACAGCAGAATCCGGAAGACATCATGAGAAATATCAAACCTTGTTTCCATTTTCATATACACAAATTTAACAGACAAAAAACACAATCAAAGAAAAGTCACTGTGGTTAATTATCTATTAGATGGTGATTAAAGGTTGAAGCTTGTAGGCTGAAATGGTATTTCACTCATAACTGTGTTTTCAGTTCAGCAACATCACACTAGAGGTCATGCTGTTGTACTGCAGGCTGAGTGCTGAAGACAGTGCTTATACACTGTAATTATTATTCCCACCAATACGTTTTTGTCTTTATTCAGAATGAACTCAATGACTTACTTTCTCCCTCCAGACTGAGACGACAGCTTCTTCTCCACTTGTGTTCCTTTAGGAAACTGTTCAGTCTGAAATGAAAGGTAAAAGAGCAGGTAACACATCTGCACATCCTGAGGCCTGAACTACGAAGCCAGTTCAACTAACCCAGGATATCTTTTGGTCATCATACAATAATTTGTATATTTCAGAGGCAAATGTTTTATTTCAGTCCTCCACATTTACTTTGATGGCAAGTGTAGTTACTGTATTTATGCTGCCGCGTGGCAGCAAACATGACTGCAAACAAGCACATATGGATGAAAACAAAGCTGGATTTAAAACAGTTTAAAAATGCTTTGCAAATATTTTATGAGGAAAGAAATTAACTGTTCTCGTTTGTTAGACTTCAAAGACACACACACAAATCCACAGTGCCCCTGTAATTAAAACCGTTGCATTGTTTCAGATCCAACAACTGTACTGTTTATTACCAAATACAACATTAAAATACTTATTATAGATCAGGGTTTCCTGATCTTTCTCCCTGGGGATCAATAAAGTAATTCTGATTATCCCTTAAGATAAGTGTTTCATTTATTGTAAGTGTATTTATTTTTATGATGCTTGAAGTGGACCGTTAACTACTGCAGTGCACAGCAGACAGGTGACACGTGTTGGACATTGGTTTACACAGTGAGTTCTTAAATTATTAATACTTAACAACAGTTTTTTTTCTCCAGCATCAACATCCAAACCAAAACCAAGGTTCAAGTGTTTCCCTTGTTTTTTAATACTTTAACTCCAAAAACATAAAAGAAAAGAACTTCTGCTTCACAGCACAGCTTCATTCAATGAAATGTTTCATCCCCAGCTTTCAGGGGAAGGTTCATCTGTGGTTGAGAAGTTGTTGTGTCCTTGTGGAAATAAATAAATATTGGGAACGCGATAGCAGTGTGTTTTTTTGTCTTTGTGTGTAAGTACATGTTCACCTTTATTTGAGACGACTCGCTGTAGTCTTCCTCCAGTAATTCCTCCAGGAGGGCGTCAATATCGTTGGTGTCGCTGCTTATCGGCTGTTCAGGTTTTGTGGCACTAAAACAGAGGAAACCAGATTGTGAATAAGTTTCAAACATCAAAAAATATTTTTAACAGTAACCCTCTATGTTTACAATTCATTAATTTAACTCTGACACATACACTTACTGGATATTTTTTCCTGGGGGATTCAAGTATTTTAGGCACAACGTTTGTTTTTAGTTGAATAAATAAATTAAGGGTCCAGTATTTCTCCAGTATTTTAGTCCTGGTAGTTTGGAGAAGGTAGCATTCAGAGCTTCATGTAGGGAATAAGTATAAAAACTTTGATTAATGTTTTTCAGGGAGTAAGTGGTGTGTTAGGTGGACTCCTGTGACCTCAATGTTTCTAAAATACTGGCTGCAGATAAATTACACTGAACTCCTTGTCATGCTGGTTTTCCGCATTGCAATACCATCTCCTTTTGCACTACCCTCATTTCCACTGAAACCAAAGTCTCTCTGGGTATATAAGGGGCTGTTCTTTACTTACCAGAGGAGGGGGTGGCTGAGGTGTGACTTTTTTTTTTTTTACCCTCCCCATAAACTACAAATATTTTTCCTTAAGCCTCCCTGAGTGACAGGCAGAAAATGCATGACCCTCCCTCCACCGTAAATGATTTATTAGATTTCTAAAACTTACTCTTTTATGTTTGAGAGTTAAAAGTTAAAGACTAAATCCTGGGGTTGAAAAAGCTTTGATTTTTCACTCTTGTCATGCTGCTGGTTAGTTCGTGCAAATGGTTTATTTTTGGCCAAATGTTAAATGAGATGTAGAATTAAGAGATTTTGATAAAATATCACTGAAACTAAGATTTGATTTGATTTTTGTTTTGACAGAAGAATTCATCTCACATGGTGTGTCCAAGGACTGTTGGAAATGTGACAATCCAACGATAATTTTTTCTGGCTGTGATAAATGGTGTAATTTGGCCGATTTTTTAAGAAAACATGCTTTCCAAACCTGCCTGCATGCCTTTCTTCAAATATGCCGTAATAGCAAAAACAAAATACAAGCCAACCCTAAGCCAAAATAAAAAACACAAGTTCCTCCCCAGTGCTTAAAAAACTTTGACATGCCTCTCCTTTTTTGCACCACCCCCTCAACCCTTATAAACTACCAACAGTCCCTACGGATTTGTACATTAAATGTTCTATTATTATTCTATTTCAATTTAAAAATTTGTATGCATCGTTTGTGTGTCTGAGTGGTTACAATTCAAATTTCACTGTGCAACCCTTTGTTGTAAAATGATGAATATATGAACCTTGTACAGCTCTGGTTAGGAGGTTAACTAACTAAAGCTTTATTCAGAAAATAATTGCCCACGATATACAACTGAGAAATATTTCAATATATCGTTAATATACAATACAAAAACCTCTGACAGAGCCAAATGTCTATAAACGCTTAAATTCCTTACAGCAATCAAGATATCCACAAGTAGACAAAATCCAACAAGATAAGTATCTTTATCAACACAAGCTTACTTCACTGACATTCTGCTTCTTTACTTAGCATGTAGCATACTTGGCTAACGTTTAGGCCATTTAATGCCCCGAGTATGCAGCTCTTTAGACGTTATCAACACATAGAAGTTTCGGAAAAGGTCTTAAGACGTTATTAACACAGATAACTTTAAATAAAACGTTCAGCCACACAGCACAGCCCACTGTTGGACGTTAGCTTAGCTTCCATTAGCTGCCATATTAGCATCGTTTACCTGTGTTTTTTCTGTCCTTCGTTGTCTTTCCCACTTTTTCCCGCCTCGCTCGGCTCCACGCGAGCGACGGACGCGACAGAAACGTTTCTACAAAACTTTTTTTCAACTTCATCCAGCAGTTCGTCCAGGTCGTCTTCATCGTCCATGTTTGGTGCTAACCCCAGCTAGCAGCAGCCAGACAACACGCTCACAGCGTTCGTCGTTGCTATGTAACAGAAGCGGAAATTAAGCGATACCGCCTTCAAAATAAGAGTTTCAGAGTTTGTCATGTTTGATTACAACGGTCACAAAAAACAAATGTTGCGGTTCTGTTGATTTAACATATATTCAGACGTTAAAGCAGCACGGTAAAGAAGTAGGAAAACATACTGTTTATATAAGATAATATATAATGATATAAATAATATATCTAAAAATAATATAACTGCAGAAAGCTACAAAAGAAAATGAAACAATTACCTTTTGCACTACCCTCATTCCCACTAATCCAAAATCTAACCTTGTGATCTTTGAAATAATAATAATAATAATAATAATAATAATAATAATAATTATTATTATTATTATTATTATTATTATTATTATTATTATTATTATTATAGAGATTCATTTATTATGACTACACTATTTTGAATGCACACATTAACATTTCACTGAAATTATATTCATGGATTCATGTAACAAAAAAAAAGATTGATTGATTGATTGATTGATAATAATTCCAGTATTTAATGTAAATAATAATGAGCTTTAATGCTGGCCTCTGTCCTGTTTGTATTTCAACTGACATTTATAAGTTATGATGCATTTATTATAACACAAATATATTTAAATCGCAATATTCACTGACCGGCCTCTTTATTAGGTACACCTGTTCAACTGCTCCTTAATGCAATCACGTGGCAGTAACTCAGTGTATTAAGTCATGTAGACATGGTGAAGACGAGCTGCTGAAGTTCAAACGGAGCATCAGAATGATGAAGAAAGGTGATTGAAGTGACTTTGAACGTGGCATGGTTGTTGGTGCCAGACGGGCTGGTCTGAGTATTTACTGGGATTTTCAGCACAACCATCTCTAGGGTTTACAGAGGATGGTCCCAAAAAGAGTAAATATCCAGTGAGCCAAAATGCCTTGTTGATGCCAGAGGTCAGAGGAGAATGGCCAGACTGGTTCAAGATGATAGAAAGGCAACAGGAAGTCAAATAAGCACTGGTTCTAACCAAGGTGTGCAGAAGACCATCTCTGAAGCAACAACACCTTGTCCAACCTTGAAGCAGACGGGCTACAGCAGCAGAAGACCACACCAGGTGCCACTCCTGTCAGCTGACAACAGGAAACTGAGGCTACAATTCACACGGGTTTTCTCACCAAAACTGGACAATAGAAGATTGGAAAAACCACATTCAGATGGAAGCATGGATCCATCCTGCCTTGTATCAACGCTTCAGGCTGCTGCTGGTGGTGTAATGGTGTGGGGGAGATTTTCTTAGTACCAACTGAGCATGGTTTAAACACCACAGCCTACCTGAGTATTGTTGCTGAGCGTGTCCATCCCTTTATGACCACAGTGTACCCATCTTCTGATGGCTACTTCCAGCAGGATAACGCACCATGTCACAAAGCTCACATCATCTCAAACATGACAATGAGTTCACTGTACTCCAATGGCCTCCACAGTCACCAGATCTCAGTCCAATAGAGCACCTTTGGGATGTGCAGCCGACAAATCTGCAGCAACTGTGTGATGTCATCATGTCAATATGGACCAACATCTCTGAGGAATGTTTGCAGCACCTTGTTGAATCTGTGACACCAAGAATTAAAAATGAGGTTCAACCTGGTACTAGTAAGGTGTTTCTTATTACGTGGCCGGTGATTATACCTACTTACTACGTATTTTATTTTGAAAATGTGAAAGGAAGTAGTGCTATTTGTTGATTCCGTTAAGCATTAGCATAGCGCCCTGGCTAAGTCGACTGTTGGCACATACTGACATACACGACTAGTTAGCTAAAGGTGAAGATAAACTGGTGTATTTCTTTCAAGAAGAATGTAAAATAATTCTGCGTTGTCGGCAGGATTCGAACCTGCGCGGGGAGACCCCAATGGATTTCTAGTCCATCGCCTTAACCACTCGGCCACGACAACCGGATAAAATAACACTTTATGCAGAGACAGTTTTATAAGTGAGATATGTGATTGAAAGGAGGGTAATGTGTTTTGTGTTTGTGAGGAGAGTCTGTGTGATCGCCCCCCTGTTGTTGGTGTTTATTCACGACCACGTAAGCGGGAATTTTCCGGGAGCTCACGAGTTCTTCTTCATGTCTTTCCGCGTGGGAAACAAGAAGTCACAAGGTCCATGTGACGTTATTTACAATGGTGTATTTATGTGTGTTGGAGGTCCCACAGGAGAACTAAGTTTAACACATGGTATTCATTCATTCATCCATTCATTCAGAGAGAGCGATGCAGGACAGAGTAATGACAACAGCTACAATAACATTAATTTTAGTAATATTATTATATTAATAATAACAGTAATTGTGGTACAGTATGTTAAAAGAAGACAAAGCCGAGTTAGCAATATGCAGTAATAGGACGTGAATGTTAGCAAATAAAGAAAGAGAGAGAGAGAGAGAGAGAGAGAGAGGGAGAGAAGGTGCTCTGTGTATCACAGGAGGTCCCCCGGCAGACTAGGCCTATGTCAGCCTCACTAGGGGCTGGTCCAAGACAAGCCTGAGCCAGCCCTAACTACAGGCTGTGGAGACGGTGTCTGCCTCCCTGACCGAAACAGGAAGATGGTTCCACAGAAGAGGAGCCTGATAGCTGAAGGATCTACTTTTGATCTACTTTTGGGGACTTTAGGGACCACGAGTAACCCTGCATTCTCTGAGCACAGCGTTCTGGTGGGATACAGGGTGATAAATATGCTAAGGTGTAGCTATATAGCTAAAAGCATGTACAGTCAATTAAAACAAGATCAAAAATAAGGCATTTAGACAGCGATCAGTGTTGCAGAGTGTCCGAGTTTAAGGTCTTTTGTAGATTATTCCATGTATAAGGAGCACTGTAAAAGAATGACATTTTTCCTAGTTCTGTTCTTATTAAGGGAGTGTGAGGCAACAGTCTTTCTGTGAAGGCGTACCAATCTCTCTGTTTTTGCAGGAAATTTATTTTGAAAAAGTCCCGCTGCATTCAAATGATGATGAGGCGTTTATATCAAGTGTTTAAATATGTCAAAGTGTGAAACTGGCTGGACTGGAAGAACGGGATGTAGAAGCTCTGCTAAAGCAAATACACACCTAACGAAACAGGCGACTGTTTCCTGTTTGAGTTCCATGTGCAAAAAAACCCTGCTGACATACTTGTTGTCAGTGATGGTGGTTTCCCATCAGGTGTGGTTCAGTTTATCTGAAACAATGAAGCTCACTAATAACATTTAACAGCGCAGGTGGTTTAAATTTGAACTCATTCATTTTAAAAGTGAATATTTGTATATATGTATCCTGTACATGGCTGCAGGGCATTAAAACAAAATAAAAAAACTAGGAAAAAAATAAATATTAGCTGATAAAGTGAACAGGTTGTCAGTCGTTTGACCTTTAAGCACAACACATGGTCTCATTTAGTTAAAGGGAAGCTCCACCAGTTTTAGCCTGTGAAAACAATGCTGCCAAGTTGCATTATGGGAAATGTAGTAGCCTCATTATTTTGACTGAGCTCTTTTCATTGTCCCAACCCATACTCACTCCGAACTTGTCGAAATCCAGTGGGCAGTAGCTCGCAAACACTCGCAGACACTTACAAAAAAAAAACATCCTTTAATGTCGGCATTATACGCGGCCAACCGCCATTATACTTTAACAATGCTTGGCGGTGTCAAGATTGAAAGTTAAGGCGGTGAAAGTCTGAGTAGGGTGTTTGGGAGGGTTGGGGAATGGGTCAAACAACCACCAACTTTCACCCTGGAGAAGGGTGTTTGCGTCCCATGAGATTCTAAAGCCAAACCCTGTCCATTTTTCCTAAACCTAACCACGTGCGTTAGTTGTTGGAGAAACGTCAGTTAGTGTTGTTGTACTGACAGAACACTTATTTTGAAAGAGACTGTATGTAAACGGTAAATTTCCTGTGAAATCGGAAGTGTATTCAGAAAGAAGACAATGCATGTAACAGACATACCTTGACACACCGTCCCGAAATGTCAACAGCAACACACCCGGGGCACCTTTCTTGTCGTATGTGGACGTGGAAAGTCCATGACCAAACGCTGATATGTGACGAGGTCACAGTGAGAATGTGTTGGTTGTCCAGGTTGTGCAGCGAATCACCAAAGGCAGGCAGTCACCTAGTGGGTGCTGGGGGCTCGTGTTGAAAAACTTGATTGCTTCTCATATTGTCAGTGACACCACATTACAGCCTGGCTCCCTCCATTTTACCCTTCACAATAAAAGCCCCAGACAAACATAGTGCAACACTTTGAATCCGCTCAATCTGAAGCAAAATTTGAGGAAATATTCATACATTTTTAATCATGTAAGTGGTAAAAGTAAACGAGCTATGACAAAACATAATTCCCTTCTGTCAAATCTGACCCAAACTAACTACTTACTCTGCCTCTGCTGTCATTGGTCTCTTGTGAGGCCCAACATTTCATGAAACTACAACACTACATTTAACATTTTACATCTTAACGCTGTGTCCGTTTCACTGTTTCTGAAATGCTGTCTGGTCTACTGGAGGGCGCTTTGAATAAAAACTCTGAGAGGTTCTAAACTTTTATGATCCAGTTTGTGATGAAGCTTCATGATGGAGACGATGCAGCTCAGCTGACTCATGAAACAGAAACAGGATGGAAAGAAACACAAATTCACACCCACATCATTAACTTGTTTTATTAAATAGCAGCACCACACAACTGAGCTAGTGATGGGCTGTTAGGTAGGTAGGTAGGTAGGTCAATAGATAGATGGATAGAGATAGATTGATTCCATGTATTACTGTAGCGCTTTTCCCAGAGGTAGGTGACAAAGTGCTTCACAAGGGCAATGTACAACAAGAAAACAATTGTAGAGACAAAGTGACTACATGAGCCATGTTGTGAAAAGTGCACAACTAGCAAAACTATTTGCACACACAAGAAAAAAAGCAGAATTCACACTACACAACAACAATACACAAAATTTGAAAAAGTACAGCTCTGGTATACGAGTTACCCAAACGCCTGAGCAGAGCGTTCTGACATTTAGGTGCTATGGCCACAAAAGCTCGATTACCACGTGTCTCAAGGCGAGTGCGAGGGACAGACAACAAATTTAGTGTATTTGATTGAAGAGAGCGCTCTGAAGAATACGGGTGAAGTAGTGCAGCTACATGAGAGGGAGCCTGACTGTGTAATACTCAACAGGGAGCCAATGAAGGGAACTACAGGGATGAGGATTTTTATTTTGAGACTATATTGCTTGTTATATTTTGATTTTCTTGTCCCTCAGTGTTGGCACATGAATGCACTTAAAACACCAGTGCTTTACAGTGATTCACAAGTGACCTAAACTTATCACTGACCTGAGAAACATCTGGGAGGAGTGAGAGGACAGTGACATAAACACTGATATAACATATAAGCACATATAATATATAGACCATAAGCAACACGTTTCTGTATATAGATATATACATGCATTCATACATAGATACATAGCTAGATAGATGCAGATAGATTGACAGATAGGGAAGAAATTCTTTTCCACTGCAGGTACATTCAAAACACAGACAGGTAAGACACACAGAATACATATCCCAATCATGAAAGACATACAGAGTTAATACACAAGACAAAAATCAGTTTTCAGGATGGAGTTCTGCCTTGAAACCAATACATTTGCCAAACAAATTTCACCTCCTGGGTGTTTCCCCATGTTTCATTTCTGTAGAATAGCAAATCAAAGTGACACTTTAGATGGACTTCCCCCATTAAACGCTCTCTCTAATCTCTAAGATCTGTAGCCTACGTGGTTTCCTCTCAGAAGGAAACACTTTAATCTGCCATCATTTTATCATTAATTTAGTCTTAAACAAAGGTGAGTCACACAAGTCTGAACATCAGAATTTTTCAAACAGGTCTGAAAAGGAAAACAGAACTTTAAAGTTATTAAATATGTTTATCAAAGGGAAACACAGGGCGGCTGTGGCTCAGAGGAAGAGCGGGTCGCCCACCAATCAGAAGAGCAGCAGCTCAGTCCCTGGCTCCCTCTGTCTGAATGTGTAAAGCCCCGTTTCCACTGAGCATTTCAGTTCAGTACGCTTTTTTTCTGTTTCCACTGTAAAAAGTTGTGGATGGTACCAACAGAAGCGTTCCTTACCGTCCCCATGTTTGGTCCCCCCTCTGTTGGGGTACCTAGCACACAGATGTGGTACTAAAAGGTGGAGCTGTGAACACTGCAGTCTGATTGGTCAGTAGAGGACGGTCACTCTGCTCAGGGCTGAGTTGTGTCTGGTTTCGAGGCTCATGTAACCACTGTTCATACTGTGGAGAGTTTTATTAGTAAACTGTAACTATAAAATGAAAGGATGTGTTGCTGCCTCTCACAGCAGCTGGAGTCTGAGAAAAAATAACTTCATTCACTGGGCCGACTGCCTGTGACTTTTAAGGTGGAACGTTTACTTGTAATGTTACTCAATGCATGAGTTGATGACGTGAATCCATCAGCACACCTTAAATTTCACTGTGACAACTTTGACCATCACTTTAGTTTTTATATGACACACACTTTTAGTAATGAGTGGATCTTCAAGAGTTTATGTATAATTATTTCAGCCTGGTTTTGTGAACTGCATATATTCTAATCCTCACTTCCTGTGGGCTCCAGCAACACTAAACCCCTGAGCTTGCCTGAGAAGGACTAAATGCACAAAGCTGCTATTTTTAAATATCCCATGGAGAGAGACTCTCACTGCAGCCTGTTCTATTTTGTGAACAGACCGAGGGTCTAGGTACCATGTCTGAAGGGTTACTGCTAGTTCCAAAGGGACTGGACTGAAAGGGTTTGGTGGAAACAGGGCTAAAGTGTCTTTGGGCAAGATACTGAATCCCAAATTGCTCCTGACGGCTGCTCCATTGGTGCGTGGGTGCAAGCGAATGGTTACTGAGCAGCAGTAGTGTGTGAAAGGGTGAATGTGACATGTAGTGTTAAAGCACTTTGAGTGGTCAGAAGAATAGAACAGTGCTACACAAGTACAGTCCATTTACCATTAAAACAACGTTTTAAAATTATGACAGACCTCTGCCGAGTTCCACAGCAGTGTTTGCACCGTAGCTCCTGTTCATCTATAAAGCATTAACAAACTTAACATCAGGAAACAAAAGCTTTGTTTAAAAGTTTATTATCTCAAATGTGCACTGCACAAAAACAAACCAAAGTTGCACCAAAAACAAAACTTATATTTAGGATAACAAAAGAAAAACACTAAGGAAACACAGCCTCATAGAGACTATAAAATGTCTTCAGACAAGTTCAATATGAGAAGCTTTTTTTCACAGTCAACTCTCTAACCTGTAATACTCAAACATAAAAACAAGATCCGTCTACGGACATAAGGTGTCATCAGCAGGGAAGTTCACCACCCTGAGAATCTGAAGTCCTACAGCAAACATTACAAACTTTTCAGTCATTGTTTTTCTCTCTCCTCCTCTGTTCATTCCTTGGTTTTCTTGAGCTTAAAATTCTTCAATCATTTACATTATGTCACAAAACAAAAACACATACATGCTTCAAACTGAACCAGAAAAAAGCAGATCAGCCTGCAGCAGGATGTGACCATGACGACATGAGCGCAAACATAAAACATGATTTTATCTTATTTATATCTGTGTTGTTCCCCTAAGAAAAGTCTGTCTCATAGCTTTCATCAGTGGGTCAAAGGAGAAGTGCTACATTATTAATAAAAAACAGACAGTCGCTCTCTGGGCTTTCCCCTATGTGTAAAAATAAAGGTCAGATGAAAGTAAATATAGCACTAAGCAGAAGTGTACTTTAGTTCTTCCTTTTAAAAGATCATCAAGGTTCACTTCTCACTGCTGCGCACAGTGTCACAGTCTGGAGTTTTTTAACCTGTTACTTGATGATATAGAAATACAGAATGAAGATACTGAGACTATGTTGTCTCATACCTGCTACATGCCAGTGCACAAAGTGTTTCTTACCCATCTAGCTTCTTGTCCACAAGTAGATCAATAAAATAAAACAATTAAAATCCAAAATACCAACATAGTAAAAGACATACAGTCCATAGTGGCTCCTATAATCCTTAGGGCTTTTCTAGATTCTCTATCAGTCACTTTAACAGCATTCACCTCATTCTGAAACTCCTCCTTTATCAGGACACAGTGACCTGATGGTAACTCTGACCACTGTCCTCTTTCATTCGTCTTACTCTTCAGTTCTGACAACAAGATAAACAAACACATCCCTGTTTACACATACAGCTTCCTGCAATTCAGCTGGACATTTATTTTAAAATCCTGGATCCGGACAAAAACAAAGAAATAAAATAAAGAAACATGAAAAAATATATAAAATAAAGAAACGATCTGTTGTGATGAGTCGGAGCTCAAGGAGCACAAAAAGCACCGCGGCCACTGATATGATAAAAGTTAAATGATGCAGCGTTTGAAAGAAGAAATAAAACAATCTGTCTTTGACACGGCAAACATTAAATGCACCACTGCTCACTTCACAGGTTTTGCTGCTACAGTCTGAGTCACTAGCATTAGCTAACCTTACATTGCTCCTTAAGTTCACAGATTTCACAGACTTAGGTAGGTTGACCAAACCATCTTAACTCAAAAGTCGACTTACGAACCTTTTCAAACACATCTCACGGCCTTTATCAGCAGATTATATTCAGATGGATCTTGCTCAGTTGTTGCGGAGGAAAAATCCATAAATTGGCATTTAGTTAACATAACTTTGTAAAATTTTACAACCTGGTCTCACTCCCAGCTCATCAAATAATGATGGCTGGTCAGTGGCTTTTGACACAAAGGCACTCTTTAGCAGCGCAGACAAACTGGAACAACAAATTCTCACTCCAAACTCGTCACATATCAGCGCTTTGTCAGTGGACTGTCACGTCTACATATGAGGTGCTAGGTATCCTGGGTACATCTGTTGTTTTGGGACATCTTCTCAGTATACACTTACACTTTCAGAGAAAATGTATACTCTCCGCTCGTTAGATGCATACAGTCTTTTTCAAAACAAACTAACAACATCAGTAAAATGCAGCGTATTTACTTTGATTTCATTGAGCAACAAACGCACGTGGTTAGGTTTTTCATGCAGGAAGCAAACGCTGACTTCCTGGGTGAAAGTCCAGTGTTGTTGGACCTACCCATCACCCCTTCAACCACCCTCTACAGACTCCCTAAATTTTGAAATTACGCTATTGGTCGACAGCATTTTAAACTGACGCCGTTTGATGGCATTATTAACTGATACCACCCGACTACGTATCATACGCTGTGAAAGGATGCCTGTTTTTTTTTTTCGTCTGTATCTGAGGCATTATTTGACAACTTTGGAATGAGACTGGGTTGATCAGGCAGTGACATTTTCTGACTCTCCAAAAAACTGTTGTAGTATTAAGAGCAAGGCGCCAGGAAGGAGATGAGGTGGACCGGTCAAACAAACTCCGGATCACCTGGAAGGTTGCTGCTCCTGTCCTGAACGAAACCACGAGTCTTGACTTTAAGTTACGTTAGTGAATGTAATTATTTTAAGCCAAACCATGTGCTTTTGTTGCCTAAACACAAGGAGATTAACCTAAGTTCTGAGTTCATTTTTAAAAAGACTGCATTAAACTAGCAGAAACTGAACATTTCCTGTGAAAACAAAAGTATATTTTGAAAAGACACAATGCATGTAGTAGCATAAACTGACACGCCGTCCCTGAGCCTCACAGTTTAATGTTTAGAGCCACTGACGTTGATATTTGACAAGTTAAAAGTGAGAATGTGTTGCATCTCTACTACTGATACACCTGTAATTAAACCACCATCCTGTAATTGCTAGTTGTGGCCTGAGGCCGCTGATCAGCAAAAGCTACAAGCAGTGCTTTAGCACCCCTTCAGATAAGCTTATTTCGTTCTGTTCAACACTTCAGTCATCCCTACAATTTGTAAAATGTGCTACATAAATATAGTAGGTTGGACTGGCTTACATGGGTTAGCATCTACACACTGATGGCAGCCACCATTCAAAGCGCCGGCCTGACCATCAGCAATTCGGGGCTCGATGTCTTGCCCAAGAACACATGCACAGGAGGAGCCCGGGTTCGAACTCCTAACCTCTCAGCATCCAGTCCACCTCCTGAGCCACGGGCAACCCTGTGACCAGCACCCCGTCCATTTACACCAGATTGCTGGACATCTCTCTCTGCTGTCTGGCTGTCTAGTCTCGGGGGAAGAGCCCGCTCTGAGTCCACATTGATTTTAGCTTCTTAAGATTTTCCTACAAGTTGGTCCTTGTCCTCTACTGAAGATTTACAGGGGGGGGGGAGGGGGGGCAAAAATTTAATAGAAGTCTTTGATTGGGATTAACTGGTTGTGCAGCTAAACTTGATTGTTCTGGAGGGATTATCCTTTAAAGTCCTAGTGATAAGGCTGCAGGTGGTTTTATAAATTGAAGGTGATGATTTTAACTCAAACATTGAGGACAAGTAATAGATGAAGTAAGAAAAGAAGCTATTCTGTGGGTCTTCCTGGTCGTTCGTTCCTCCTGCACCATCTTTCCAGCACCATCTTTGTCTTTAAACGCAGATATTCTTCACTGTGGATGATTTAGACACTTTAGGACCCAACATGTAGATCAACTTTAAGTCCTTTTTTTCAAGCGGTTTGAGCGGAGCATCCAATAAAGTTTCTTTTTTTGGCGTCTTGTTTGTTTGGCGTCTGAGGATTTTCTTCAAACTGCCCTGTGGTGGAGACAAGGAAACATACATTCAGATGAGGAATGGACAGTTTATAAAGGTTCAGTGTGCTGTAGCTTAAATACAACAAACAATCATTAAGTGAATCCATGTACACGGGGTTGTTAGAGAGGCTGTGTTTCATGTGGGAAAATGTTCTCAAGCATTAGTGTGTGTAAGCAGATTCCATTACTTACATAGCTTATGAAAAAAATCACAAGTGCAAGCATCAGCACCACCGAGGCGGAAATGACCAAGAAAGTGTCAGCCATTATGACTGCTTCTGTGGAGCTGTCGACACAATCTGAAAATGAAAACACAAATCAAAGTTAGTCACGTTCAAACCTGCAGGACTTTCCGTTTGTATCAGCAGAAAGTGAAGGGTTGAACCTTGCTGTACATGACCAAGCACATTTTAAAAGCTTCAGACTCTGAGGCATATTTAGCCTCAGAAACAAGCGGAAACATTAAGAATCAAATTATCTCAGCAGATTAAAATCAAACCAGTTAGAAAACTAGACAGAGATGAAGAAGACGAGATGTGTTGGATTGGAACTGCTTTCGTCCTGGACCAAACCTGATCTGTATTAGTGTTGTCACAAATATCAAAGCGTGAGATTGACCTTTGAGGTTGAGAGTGAGAGTGAAATAGTAATAACCATAGTGATCCTGTGACTCTGTGGTCTCTGATGACTAACCCTGTCCCAACCACGCTCCATCCCTCGTGCCACAGATCCATGTTTTTCTACAGCTGATGCAAATGAGATGGTTGAGTCTGGAAGTTCCCTGCTTTATAATCAAATGTCACAGACGCCTCAGGGGCTCACATGTTTCTCCCATCAGAGAACTGGGTAAGTTTGAAAAATCTGCCAGTGGGATCTGAACCCTGTGACTCCGAGCTCGGACTTTTACCTGTCAGAGTGAGGACCACCTGGCCCTCCCGGTTCTGCTCGCCCACAGGTGCTGCCAGGTGGCAGACATACACGCCCCTGTCTGCGCACGTCACGTTGGGCAGGAGGATGTTCCGGGTCTCGCCCAGCAGGTCCACCTCTCGGTCCACGCCGGTGTACCATCTCGTCGTGCCGTTAGGGAGGTCTTTGGTCAAAAGGCCTGAGAGTTGAGAGGACTCTTCGACCTGTGACATCATCAGTGCTGTGTTACATTCATGTACAACTACACAGCTCAACATGAGTTTACACTGAACTGTGAAACATGACTGTTTTCTAGAAGAAGCATTCAGATCCCTTACTCAAGTAAAAGTACCACTACCACACTGTAAAAATACTCCATTACAAGTAACAGTATCAAAGGATAAAGTCATTGATGCAGAGTAATGACCCCTGTGAGTGTAAGTACAGCTTTAACGTACTTGTACTTCAACTGAGTATTTCCATTTTCTCCTACTTTATACTTGTACTCCACTCCAGTCATTTTATCATAGTTACTTTTGACGTTAAAGCAATATTTACATGATATGTTGCAGTACTGTACTACCATCCCAGTAGTACACAAAGTATCTAGAACTGGCTCCATATTGATGAACTACAACGCTGAAATGCTCCAACATGTGTTCATTACACACTTTGAAAGGAACCTCTGCATCATGAGTACTTCTACTTTTCATCCTTTAAGTAACATTTACCTGATAATACTTTAAATGTTTCCAAAGTAAAACTACTTTTACCTGAACACCTGCAAGTACTACAAAAAGTCAAACTACTACTATGTACTTTAACTTAAGAGTACTTTTTCCTGATGACACTTTTATACTTTTACTTAAGTTACATTTTCAGTGCAGGACTTTAACTTGTGTAAGAGTATTTTTACAGTGTCAGTACTTCACTGCAGTAAAGAGAAAAACTAGGGATGCACGATAATACCGGTGCATCATTGGTATCGGCTTTAAAATGAAATATCGGAATCAGCCAACATGCTCATTCTTAACACTGAAACGTATTTCATGTCTCCATCTGCTGGTGGGTGGGAAGAGACTTAATGATCACTAATATTAGGTGGGAGAAAAGTGGATATATTGATATCGGTGTCAGTTATCGGCCAAATGAGCTGTTACATATCGGTATATTAGATATCAGCAAAAAATCCAATAACGTGCATCCCAATGAAAAATAGAATATTACTGAATAATACTTTTACTTTTCATATTTTTGGTACATTTTGCTGATAACACTACCACCTCTGTTTAAGTACTACCTACACTCCCTTTACTGTGTTTGCTTTTACTTAAACAACTGTCAAACTACAGATAATAAAACTGTAAATATATGTCACATTTATTCAGAAATCCAGGTGATAACCACACATTATTATTGCAATATTCAACTGGGCCTACACAAAAAGTTATGAATGAATTCTTAATAGACTGTATCAATATATTGTGCACACCAATCTCCAAATTTTTTGGCAAATTCTACCTAAAAAAATTAATTTCATTTCATTTTATTAAACACATGTGTCGCTGTCCATATGTTATCTTACATTATTTCCCATTTAAATTGATGTGTTGCTGGTGTGTTGATGTAATTTTAAAACATTTCATATGAAATCTTGAGTCATTTTGTTAAATATTTCATGAGCTGCCAATTGTTATTTGATATTAGTAAACAAAAACAAATATTTATGTTGTGATAGGAGTGATAAGACACCTTATAAGGCCTGTTGTGCACAGATATAAATACAGGTGTGCCTTGAGATTTTGGCTTGCTCTTTGGTGTGCTTTGGGCACTGAAAGTTTAAAAACCACTGCTTTATACAATTTCTGACATATGCTTCACTTTCAGCGGGAAACAGAAAGTAATCCAGCCAATGAGAAGTGGACATGTAGCTGCACCCAGTGTCACCTCCTTCCTGCTGCTTTGTATACTTGTACGAATAAAAACTACAGGATGTTGCGGTGTTTTTGCAATGAAATGTGCATGAAATAAAAGCAGCTTTACCTTGTACCACCTGACTGCTCTGTACTGAACACCGGGCGTGTATTTGGCGGTGCATTCAAGAACACAGTCTGACCCGACTTCAGTTGCTGTCTCCAGCATGTTTCTTTCTACAGCCATGCCCACATGACACATATCTGTGGAGCACAAGAGCATGCATGAAATATAAAGTTTATCATAATAACCTTACATATAAGATGTTTCATAATCAGACACCGCTCCTGTGTATCTGTATCTTTACACATTTCCTTATTCTATAAAGGGCTACCCACAATGAATGTACAGCTCTTTTTACTGTATAATATACACATGTGTTTATTATTTAACTGGTATTTTCTCCTGCTTTGTTTGTGTCGACTGTTCTGCACCACAACAACTCTTAGTTATGACTAATATGAATCACATCAATAAAAGTTTTACGAATACTCAGCACAGTATCTATCATGTCATTTTGAGAGACAAAAACGCACCATGGATGACATTAAATAGTTTCAAAAAATACTTACACAGTGACAGCAGCAGAGCAAGGTTCAAAATATGTGTTGTCATGATGTTGATGATGTGTAGATGGAGAAGGTTGAAGTTTTGAGTTGAGGCAGAGACCTTGTAGCGGAGAGATTATAGAAGAGCAAGTCTTTATATAGTCATGCTCTGATGAGGAAACAAAAACCGAAACGACATCCGCAAGGCGTGCTTTCTGTCTTCTCCTCCTCCTCATTGATTCAACCCTCCTCACAATAGCAGCACCTTATAGATTGCCATCATGCTCCACATCTTGCATCCTCCGCTACTCATCATTTTAGGTGAGTACCATCATCTAAGATATCTCTTTAATGTATATTTTATGAGTCAGTGTCATTGATATGCTTTAATTCAGCTGCAAGTCGCATAACTTAACTTAACTTGTAGGTCTGCAGGTGGAGGTAGCAGTGCCCGCTGTGCTGTGACTGATGACGAAATGCATTAAGAAAATTAGCAATTACATTTCCCCCTGTTTGTAATTACACACACATTCCTCAAAGAGCAGTCACACATGCATTTAATTAACAGCTGGCGTTTAGTGGTTAAATCGGCGTAGTTGCACGTGACTGTGCTCAGATTTCATCATTCAAAAGCAGCCAGTGATGCCAACCTGCTATTTCTCTGCCTGCAACAGATTACATATTAAACAATAATTACGGGATGGAAGCCAGTTTGAGATAAGCCGAATTAATAACCAAATCCTGCAGATTTATAAAATATATAAAAATGTGCTTTACCTGCTTAGAGACCTGCGCAATAAGGCAGAATAGATTAAATTAACGGCTTTTTGAATGACGTTTAGCGTAACTTTGCGCAAGCGAGCGGGTTAGCGCTTTTATAGTGTGGATTAGAAAATGAATCCGGTTTGACAGATATTTTAAAGTTGTGTTTATGATTGATTTATGTGTGTTTATTGTTTGCGAACATTGTTTACCTTTCGTTTAACCAGTGTCGCAGTCAAAAATGCTAAGTCATCAAGATGTCCGCCCACCGGCAGATCCTCCACCGACATTTTGCGATTTAATACATAATACTGTCACAGTGGTATTTTTTGTGCATGGGATGCCTCGAGTTAATGGTAGCTATTTAATCATGTCATAACATGTTATTCGGCTACCAATGTTGTGATTGCACACTTAATCGGTAGCTGAAAGTGAAACAACTTTGGGATTTCCCCATAGTTTTGCTGGTAAGAGAGGTAGTTTCCACGAAACACATGCATGCCTCAAAGGTTAGGAAAGTCCCACTATGGGTGACGTTACGGGTATGTGGAAGTGTTAAGATAGGCTATGTAAGGCTTTCCAGACCTCAGCAGAAAAATAAAAGTACATTAAGCAAAAGCAAAACTGGCAGTATCTCCTCTTTTAGGTACAGTAATTAGTGTCCGGTATTGTGATCCTAGTATTCTTCTTCTTCTTCTTTCTTCTTCTTTCTTCTTCCGAGGAAATCATACTTCCCATGGTGAAAACCATAGACTGTATCCAAATAAATAAATAAATCTTCAATGTTCATGAAAAAAATGGCAAAATTCTAGAGTCATGGTAGATGATGTGTGGATGTGTTCACTTATGGAGCAAATCAGTTATTGTTATAAACAAATTACCAACATCTCCATGCTGTCTAGATGCAATATGCGTATTTTCAGATTTTTGTCTTGATAACTGAATTTTTTACAGTGGTTTCAAATCTGCCTTTCCATGCACGAATGGCTGCTTTCCTACGCAACAGTGAATGGCTTACTCAGTTTGTGAAGCCACTGTTGAGTTGCTACTTGCCAATTAGCTCAGACTGGTAAATGACTGTCTAAGGTTCCAGAAGTTGCGTGTTTGAGCCTCAACTACTGCAGAATCCACATTGAAATGTAAACATCTTAATCATCTTCCTGTGCTCCAGTTTATTGCTTAGAATTGCCTGAGCCTGACTCATCGATGTTCAGCATCTCAAGTCTTCTTCCTGCTAGAAAATCTGCCTTCTCATGCTTGAAAATAAACCAAACTTTGCACAAAGATCCAGAGTCAAAACTTCAGTGTGAAACCATCTGAGGCTTCTCACTTTGCACATAGCTCAACTAGTTAAACATCAGTTTTTCACTTATGAAGCAAATCAATCATTGTTAAAATAAATTACCAACATCTCCATGCTGTCTAGATGCAATATGTGTATTTTCAGATTTTTGTTTCGATAACTGAATTTTTTACAGTGGTTTGAAATCTGCTTTTCCATGCACGGATGGCTGCTAAACCTGCACGTCTGGCTTAGTCAATTTGTGAAGCTACACATGTCTGTCACTGACTAATTAGCTCAGTGAGATAGAAATTGATTCTTAGTCTCAGAGGTTGTGAGTTCAAGCCTCAGCTGATGCAAAAGGCAGATTGTGTTGTTAAATTCCTAAATGTCTTCCAATTCTTCTGCTTGTTGCTTAGAATTGCATTTTGTTGTGCAGTATGTGCTTTACAATGACAGTGATTTAAACTTGACCCTTAACGTTTGTAGTAATGCATTTCTTCTTTAAATTGACAGTATTTGCTGCTGTTGGCTCTGTAAAGGGCAAATCAGTGGTGATGGAGAGCAGGGCTAACTTTTCCTGCTGCCAAAGCTCTAAAATTGAGTTCGACCCACGATATGACACCACCTGGAGCATCAAGGACAAGGTAAAAAAAAAACCTCCACCTGCATGCATAAAAAAAAAGCAAGTGCATTCATACAAATGGCTCTGTTCCAAAATCAGTTTATGTTTTGTAATTATTATTTAAACAGACACAAAGACGCCCAACCTGTCACCAGATTACTGTACTTTTCTTATTTATCAAAAACTCAAAATAAATCTGCAAGCTGTCATTTATACAAATGAAAAAGTGCAGTTTGATTTTTATTTCATACTTGAGAGTTCCCTGAATCATTTGCTCACTTTTCCTACTTTAATTTGGATTCTGAATTTCAGTTTGAGCAAAATAAATGTATGTTAATATCCCTGAAATTCCATATGTGCAGAGAATCAGAGACCAATCACTCATTGCTGGTGTTTAAAGACGTCATGTTCACATTCAGTGTTGCTCACCCAAACACACTCTGAGCCTGTTTATACATGGTATTAACATGAGTCTGGGGTGATCCGATCACAAGTGGACATTTCTATATCTGCCTGTTCACACCTGGCACGAGGATCCATCCGTCCATTTTCATGTGCTGATTCCGAGCCTGGTCGCGGGGGCAGCATTACAGACGTCCCTCTCCCCAGCAACACTTTCCAGCTCCTCTTGGGGGACCCCGAGGCGTTCCCAGGCCAGATGAGATATATAATCCCTCCAGTGTTTTCTGGGTCTGCCCCGGGGCCTCCTACCAGTGGGACGTGCCTGGTCAGGATCCTGATCAGATGCCCTAACCACCTCAACTGACCCCTTTCGATGCAAAGGAGCAGCAGCTCCACTCCGAGCTCCTCCCCCTATCTCTAAGGCTGAGCCCAGACACCCTACAGAGGAAACTCATTTCAGCCGCTTGTATCCGTGATCTCATTCTTTCAGTCACTACCCAGAGCTCATGACCATAGTTGAGGGTTGGGACGTAGATGGACCAGTAAATCAAAAGCTTTGCCTTCCAGCTCAGCTCCCTCTTCACCGAGACGGTCCGGCCCAGCACCTGCATCACAGCAGAATCCGCACCGAATCGCCAATCCGTCTCACGCTCCATTCGACCCTCACTCTTGAACAAGACCCTGAGATAGTGGAGGCAGTGACTCACTTCCAGCCTAGAGGGGGCAATCCACTGGCACTAGGATGCATCTCCACATGCGTCTGTAGTGAACACTTGTGATTGGATGTGACATCCCGCAAAACACCAGGCGACTAGAGAGCAGAAACGCGCCACAAAACACAGCAAGCAAAAATCTTCATTCTCATTAAAAACTAGAGCACTCGGAGAGCGCAGATCTCCGCCAAGCAACTCGGATTTCCCGCCATTTTATTATTTTATCCACTTCGCTTCAACCGATCACCACCAAAATTTTATCATCTGTTCCTTGTCCCATTATCAACCTTTCCTGAAAATGTCATCAAACAAACAGACCAACGCCGGCGAAAACATAACCTCCTTGGCGAAGGTAACAATTACAAAAACACGCCTCCAACTGCTAAAGCGCTTTCTGTAGCCCCTTTTACACTGCCAGATTTTCTGCGAATGTTGGGCCATTTTGCCGGCAAGCTGCGAGCGTTTAGACACACAGAGCCGGACTGGTGAGTTGATCCGAGGTGCCCAATTTTCTGCCTCATAGGGTAGACATATTGGCGGAACCCTTTTAGTTTAAACAGACCGAGGCGGCTTTCCGCAACGGGAGGGGCTGTTGGTGACTTGTGGGAGGAGCTGTTGATGACGCTGCACGTGTGACCCACTGGTGGTGGATAAACAGGAAACAGCTGATAGCAGGAATTAGCGAGCAGCTAGTAGCAAGAGGGAAACACAAACCTGACAGACACTGTAAAGATGAGCAACTGGGGAGACAAGGAATTGCGCGCCCTCCTTGTCCTCGCAAACGAAGAGGCCATTAACCGTCAGATGACGGGGATGGTGAAGAACGAGCCGACTTACGAGAGAATCACTGAAGGACTGACCAGCTGCTGCTTCCCTCCCACGTCACTGTTTACGTCACACGCTGAGCTACACGTTTTGTTACTTGCTCACGCCCCCCATTGCCCCGAAAAAGGCGCATTCTATATAAACAAAGTAGGTAGGCAGCATTTTGCTGCACTCCCCGATTTTGTTTTTATACTGCCAATGCTGAAAAAAGACTGATTGGGCTTTCCTGCAAATTTGCACAACTCTTGTCTAAAAAGGGCTTGTGTGTGACCGGGGCCTAAATCAGTTGCAAGTTGATCAGTGCAACCAAATTGAGTCAATCAAAATGTCTCACTTCTCATCTAATTCTTGGGTAAATTATTGACTGTTCATAAAAGGATTTTGTTTTTCTCCTCGCAGACCATCGCCTACTTGAACAAACACTCTAACGCTTGCATTGCTCCGTGCAAGAACATTGAAGTCGGACAGATGTTGCTGGATCAGTGTGTCAGAATAAACGCCACCATGGTGTTTACTG